TCTGCCTGGCCCCCCTGTCCTGCTGCCAGAGGAGCACGGGCGGCCCCAGAGCCTACCCTGACGGGCTGCAGGCACTTGCAGCCACCTTGGGATCTCTCTCCGGGAGCCACATCTGCTCCACATCTCAAGGGACCACACGAATTCAGCTCCTGCCATGGGGACTGGATGGCACGTGCCAGTGTGACTGTCACCCCACAGCCAGCACCAGCCTCAGCATCACCCCTGCAGCTGTCAGAGGCCGGGGCTGCCTCATCATCAGTCGTTGCTGAGAACAGCCAAGCCGCTGCAGGCACAAAAAGCTGTGCCGTTCTCAGGGCCGTTTCCCTTTCTTCAGCCACATTGCTCAAGCACTCAAACACAGGTGCTAGCCCATGGTCTGGAGATCTCAGTGGGTTCTGGAGCACCAAACAAGGCCAGCAGGATGCTTGCAGGGAGCTGAGCTCTCTCCTGCCATGCTTTCTCAAGCAGGTTTTTTGGTGTCTATGATCGTACCTTTTGAGCAATGGAGGATAGGACAATGGGTGCTTTCCCATGGAGCAGAGCTCCTGCTATGGCCCTGTCCCTTGCTTTGCCTGTGAACCCATCAGCAGCGCTCGGCAAGGAGGGCGTTTTGGAGAACCTCAGCCCCAGGGTCGAAGGAGAGGAGGGAGGACTGGAAGCAGAGGAGCGCTGTTACTTGGCGCTAACTTTCGGCCGAAGGAGCTGCCAAAGGTCAGTTTGATATCGCTGGTGAGGGACGGTCACCTGGGAACAGGACCTGGTAGCACTGGCAGCATAGGCATCGCTGGTTCCCTGCCCTGGGCAGTGCAGCAGTGCCCCAATGCCACGAACTGAGGTGTGATAGGAGCAGCCACATCAGCTGACAGAGGCACTGGCTATAAAGTGCCCACTGTCCCTGTGGCACAGGCACAAGCAAACCTACCATGGCCTATGCGGTGCCTGCCTGCCTGCTCCTGGCCCTGCTGCTCCTGGCCCCAGCCATACCAGCACAGCATGAGCGAGGGCTCATCTTCAACTTGGTAAAAGACTAATCCTGTCCTTGGCACAGCCAGGGGATGCTCCAAGTTCTGCAATGGGGCATGTGGTGCATGGAAGGGTTGGAGGTGTCTGTGGTGCTTTGGTCTCTGGCAACAGCTATGTGGGGCAGCCCCTGGGTGATGGATGCAGCCATCAAGAGTAAAACTTACTATGGCTGGGGAAACTGAAGCAGGTGGGGATGGCATGCTGGGTTTCCCAGAGTTATGAGTGACTTTGGAGCCTGGGAAAGCAGCTGTGTAAAGGGAAGCCAGAACATAAGTGAGACTGAAGTTCTCAGCGGCCTGTGCCGGGCAGGACCTTCCCTCCCTGGGTGGCTCACAGGGACTGGGGAGGCGAGACATCCTGTGGTGTCTCAGCCCTACTCTCATGAGCCCAGCAAAAATCAGCACTTCAGTAGTATTTTGGGCCAGACTGAGGAAATGCTGCAGGATGGGAGACTTGGCATGCTGGCAGTGGTGCTGAACCCCAGCTGAAAGGCAGAGCTGGTGTTCAGCACCCATCCAAACCCCCTGGTCCCCCAGCTGGTGGAGAATCAGAGGGGGACAGGGAGGGAGCTGGTGCTCAGGCCCTGCCTTGTGGTGTAGGAGATCGGGGAACTGTGCCTGCAGAGCGCCCAGTGCAAGAGTGGCTGCTGCCACCGGGTCAGTGGCCTCAGCCTGGCCCGATGTGCACCAAAGGCAGCTGAGTTCCAGGAGTGCTCCCCAAAGGTATGTGCTTCCCTGTTCCCAGAGGTGGCTAGGGATAGGGGCATGTCCCCCACACTGCACTGTGTCTTGGTTCCCCACAGAGCATCTATGGGGTCTACTACAAGTGTCCCTGCGAGAGTGGCTTGACCTGTGATGCTGATAAGACCATCGTGGGCTCCATCACCAACAGTGACTTCGGTGTCTGCAAGGACCCCCAGGGCTTCTATAAGTGATGGTGAAGAAAGAGATCCCCTGGTGTTTCCCCCCCACTCCATGCTGGGCCTGTCACCCTGTCTTCCCTCCTCCCCTGATCTGACTCTGGTAGAATTCAAGTAAAGAGCAGCTTCTGCCAAGCTGCAAGCTGGTGTTTTCACTCAACACATCTCTCTGGCCCAGGATGGGAACAACCGGGCCAGAAGGTCCTGGAAAAAGCCACAGGGACGCGATGGCTTTACTTCTAGATGTGTGGAATTGTATAATAATCTGGGCCAAGGCAGCAACGAGTCATGGAGTGAGCTCTGCTCAGGGGGAGTGTCAGCACAGGGGGTGCAGGGGAGGGAAGATGCAGCAGTCCCACAATCTGAGGGAGCTGCTTGGGTTGTACTGGACTTGGTTTATTTGCTGCTGTGGCTGCTCTGATTGGAAACATCCCCTAGAAAAGGTTTGTTGCCAGAGAAGAGGGGCTTGCAGGTGGTGTTGAAGCTGTGAGTGCTCAAGGTGTTTGGTGGTCGTGTCCACTGCGGGCTCTGGATGACCATGCATGCCAGGAGCTGCACCTCCTCCTCAGGGCAGGCAGATGTGGCCAGGTGGTGGTGAGGCAGGTGGGAGTCCTCTCTGAAAAGTACCCTGTTTGGCAGCAGTTGTATGCATCATGGAAGCCCCTCATGCAGCACCTTCACCAGCATTTTGTAAAGCAACTTCTCTGGCTGCAAGATGTACAGGAGCTTTGGGAATTCAGGATGGGCCTGGGGCAAGATGGTGCTGGAAGCAGCCCTGGCTGGAGGCAAGGAGGCAAAGCCCCTCAGCCCTGCCTCTGGCAGAGCTGTGCCTTGGACAGGGTAGGATGCAGGGTGTGATGCCCAGCTTGGTGTCAGCATTTTGGGCATGGGGTTACTAGGAGCCCTGCCTGCCCAGGGCCAGCCTTGCCCAGGGCTTTGTGTCCTTGGCAGGGGCAGGCTGTGACCAATGCCCAGCCCCAGCCATGCCAGGACCAGGAGAGGCGAGCTGCACTGTGCCCATGGCCTGGGACCCCTCCAGCCCTGGAGAGCCCCCCAGCCCAGCAGAGACCTCCCAGCCCCAGGGACAAGTCAGCCTTGGGGGAGTCTCTGAAGTGCACCCAGCCTATGGCCCTTACACCCTTTGAGTTCTGCACTGGGGGGCCACCCCCTCCCTGGAATGAGGTGGGGATATTGCAGGTGGGGAGTCAGCCTGGACTAAGCCCTGGTGTATTGGATGGGGATTTTGTGTTGTTCCCATTTTTGGGGTGTCACTATGTTGGCAGAAGGAGGATGGGGGCACCAGAGAGGTGGGACAGGGGGTGGCTGTGGTGAGATGGGGGGATGCATGAATGTACCCCCTTAGTCTCAGCCCTATATTTACTGGGGAAGCCGCAGCTTTATTTTGGCAGCTCTCGGCTGGTAAATATTGGCTTAAACCGAAAACCAGATGCCTGACTCACAGCGTCTTAACAAACACAGGAAGGGGCCCCTAGCACATGTGGGGTGCTGCCAGCCCTGGGGACAGGGGGACCCTACACCAGCATTGGGGCACCCTGTGCTGGGAGGGGCGGTATGAGCTGGGCGTCCTTGTGCGCGCAGGTTTTTCTACAGTGAGGTTCCCTGTGTGGGGGACATGGGGGGG